TAATGCTTCTTATAGTGTTACTTGCTTGACTAGTACCCCATCGCTATCTCTTTGTACTTTATATACGAGTTTGAAAAGTCGTAGGCAACTTATAATTAAAACTAATAAACATATATGGGGCTTTGGGTTTGTATATATCAATAAATTTCATTAATTACTCGAAGCAGTCTTAAACGCATTTTTATGTATCACCTTGAAGCAGATTGAATTTTACACGTCAATAACGTCGACTGGACAAATATGTTGAACCTCCTAAATGTTGCGTTAAATATTAATGAGTGGAGTAAATTTATTAATCTGACATTTAATTTGACCATTGAGAGTAGCACATTATGAACTTTTTTGTATTCGTTGGGAAAACAATAGAATTTGCCAATCGAAAAAGGCATTGTCTTATTTTTGCACGACATTTTAGACGCTGGACATTTCTGTTGAACTTGTAGTTCAATTACTAGCTCCAAGGCATGCAGTTTGATATATAAATCAATTAAATATTTCAAATCTATAGGAAAAGCACATTATTTTGATGTAATTTGTTTCTATTTAAACTTTCTTGTAAATGAGTAAATTTATTGTTAATATTCATATGCACGTTTTTAATTAAAAGCGTAATGTACAGATTCTTTATCTGTCAAAACTATCGTTTTCTATTTCTTGCAAACTTTTAATGCACAATCTTTAATGAATTCAAAAACGATATGGATTGCTATTGTTTTGTGAGGAAAATGAAAATTCTAGATTCACTTTTGAACGATCGACACTCGAAAAATGCATGATCCCTGCTAAAAAAAAATGTAACGCGTTACACGCTTAAAATACCTTTTATATATCCGTTTCAAAATTCTACTTTTTGCATAATAACTATTTAAATGTTATTTTCTTACTAGAAACGGGAAGTTCTGTTGAAAATCTATATCCATTCATACTAAATTCATCCATATTGCGAGTATTTTTTTTTTTAAGTGTAACAGGTCAGATTCTAAAATTGTAGACTGGCACCAACATCGCGCGTAACGTTTCATACATAACTAAATATTCTGAAGTGCATAAATTACCAAGGAAATCTAATGTCCACAATTTTTTGCCCATGGAGTATTGGTACCAAAATAAAATTTAGATCCAATCTTATGAAACCGACTATGCACTTACTGAACATATATGACGTTTGTTTAATTTAATATTAATTAAATGATTCATCTCATAATTTTCAAGTGTAATCAAAATTGGGGGAGGGGAGGGGGTTAAACTTGTAACATTTGTTGTGAACTTCGTGTATTAATCAGATAAAAGGAATTTTCCGTTGTGTGTACAAAAAGACGTAATGGTAACTTTTATATTTGCCAACGACAATAGAATTTAAGAAATATTCACTTGACAATGAAGTTGTTAATTGGCCCCAACTGCCTATTGTCAGCAAAATATGAAAAATATTTGACATGTTTACCTGGACTTGGAGTTTATGCCCCCTACCTTTAGATGATACTCGATCTACGTAAAACACTTTAAGAACAAAGCACGCCTTTGACATATAAGTTAATGATATAAAGGCATCAACAATATTGATTATTGTTATGATCTAGTCTTTCAGAAAATGAATTATAGAATAGATGCCTCTGTTTTGTAATGTTATGTACATGTATGCAAAAACACAAGGTTATTAAGGGTATGCCTTCAAAGACACAATACATGATAAGTCGATCAATTCAGAATGTTAATTACAGCAATAGATACATGTACACATATTTGATTTTCGCACTTAAATTCATGAAATTTTCGGAAACTACTTTTAAATACTTTGTATGACTTTACCTAGACCCAAAAGCACCTTTTTGATAAATTTAATTATTTATATTCTTACAGGCGTGTAAGGTCTCATCAGGATGGCAAAATTAGTCAGATGGTTACACTGGCAAACTGTCCTCTTGTTATTAGTAGAATTTACTTTGCATCCTTCTTCGGACCATTTACTTTTTGAAAATAAATCTAATTATCAGCAAGGATCAAATAAATATATATGTTTAGTTAATGTATTTTGCAAAGACAAACAAAAAAGCAAAACTATATCTTAAAAAATATTTGCTGGCGAAAAGCTTATGTTTAAACATTCATTTTCCTTGGGTAAAAGACAATTTAGGGACAACCATTCTAGAAGTTTGTGTTATCTATAGTTAAGAAAACTCAAAGACTTACTTTGTGATGAAGTCCCATGACACACAAACTGCTTGAAGGTCAGCACTTTCGTTCTAGTCAGATGAATAATCCAAAATACAGTAGAAATGCATTATTTAAGAAAGATTCTACTACACACAAATCAAGTTTTCTTTTTTTGCAGATCATACCAAAGTCTTTAGATTTGACAATTACAGCAGAAGCTTTATTTTCTTTATATAAGTTCACATTTGAAACTAAAATAAGTATAGCCATATGACTTTAACACATATAAGCAATAAAAGTAATTAAAACATGTTTGAATTTTCAGAGAGCTTTCCAGCGGAAAGTGGAATATTCAAGGTAAATGACAAAGAAAAAATCCTCTTTAACGCAATGTACTCTGTATTAGCCAAAGACTGTTTGAAACAGAATTTAATGAAATTAAATTACGTTTATATCAAGTTGCCTGCCTATTCCATTTTTTATTTGATTTAGATAAGTAACAAAATTATGCATGCTTTTCAAATACTGAAATATGCAAAATAAATGTAAATTGAAATATTCAGATAAAAAAAACGAATATCATTGTAATTTTGCACATAGCTGCCCTTCAAAAATTCTGAAATACGATGGACCAGAAAAATCTCACCTCATGTTTGTGCTGGAAGGCCAGATTAAGAGGCGGGGATAGAATGCCCAGATCTGTCTGAGTAGTTAGCGACAGGATTTCAGAGTTAACGAATTCTTTCTTTTTCTTCTCTTTACCTTCCTTCACTTCGTTTGAATTTTCTTCTCTAGAAAGAATACCAGGTTAATTTGTTTTATACTTTAACGGATAGAGGTTGTTACATCTCATGCAGAGAGGAATGGTTTTGCTGAGTATGAATAAATCACTAAAAATTACCAAGAATCAAAGCATTTGAATACGCCATGTATACTTAAAAAGTGGACTTCATATGTTAGCACCTTAACACGGACAAGAATGAGCTAGTTTACAAATATCGGTAAGAAATTATTTATTCAATTACGGCACGGTTTTGTGTAGCACTAATACGCAAGTTTCGAGATTATCTCCCTTGGTGCGCTCTTTCGTTGAGGAGGGGAGTTTCGTTGCCGCGTAAACAGACAGGTGGGACAGATATTTATAAACTGGTTGCATTGCATCATCGATATACTGGTTTATCAGAGCTAAATGATTGTCAGGATGCACTCTATAACTCAAGAATAACCGAATTAATATAAAAGCATCATTTTTTAAAACAAAAAAAAATCGTAACAAAAAAGAAAATATCAGTTGATGTGAGACTTTTCAGACGAGGGAAGAGATATGGACCTCTTAAAAAACGGTATAAATGCATCATCATTGCACGTCGGCAATCTAAAAGACATATTCTTTTCCTAATTATAACTTAAAAAACCCACTAACTTTTTAGAAATGTTTGTTCAATCAAGAAAATCAGTTATTATTTTAATGTATAGACTACGACGTTTCTTTCGTTTTCAAGTACCCTATAATTGAAAGTAGATTTGTAAATATGCATAGTTTGGCTTGATAAAATCATCAAATGCATCACTGCTTAACATTTTAATCTTTCTATAACATTTAATAAATTTTAAAAGCCATAAATATCGTTCATTTATTTATGCAAGTTGGATACTTTTTGCGCCTCTATCGTAGGAGAGTTACAATCTCGAAACTCGCGTATTCATGATAACAACTCAATACACTGCGATTGCGCTAAATATTGAAAACGCTAAACTATGAATACATTCAGTGTATTTGTCAAGAGAATATTTAACTTCTTAGTTGGGTGACCTTGACCTAATACATACAGCTGTGGTACATATATAAGGACATACCTATAAGCGGTGTTCTAAGTATCAGACCTCCGTTACCTAGTCTTCAAAATATTATTGGTTCTTTTTTAAAAGTTTATTTTTTTTAAGATATTTCTTTGTTTTATGTGACCCTCTGCAAATTATGTTTATTATACTGTCAAATCACATATTGTCGTGGGGTCAGATTTTCGTGGTTTGAGGAAAATCTCTTAGTTCTCGGGGATTTGATTTCGTGGATCAAAATTTAATGAGCACTTATGTATTAACATTTTACATTTCGTGGTGGACATGAATTCATGGGTCTCGTCATATCTCGAAAACAAGGAGAATTAAACCCCCACAAAAATTTGTGATTTCCCAGTATATACATTTTCCCTCGCGGTTGTGATTTTATTTCCAGAAAAGGCAAAACCGATTTATTTAATTGTCCAATGAATTATGGAATAGACAATTTTAAATTGCAAAAAAGAATTAACATGGCTTATGTTTATCATAATTCAGTACTTTGTAGGCAACAACCCATAAAGCTGAAGAAAAACTTAAGATATTCAATATACTATATGTATCAAAGAAGAAATGAATTGCAATATTTACGTTCGTGAACCTGAATCTGTGGGTAAAATGTCAGATATCGTCTTGTATATAACAGCCACATATGTAATTGCTGAAAGAAGATATGCCAAAAATTAATTGTCGAGTTTCATTAAATCCAACATTTATAAATGTATTTTAAAAATCGTGTTACATAAATTACAGACTTAAATTGAGAGGAAAGGCAGTATAAAACATACTGATTATACTCATAGAGTAGAATCACTCATTTCTTTGATAAACTTTAAAAAAAAACAACAGAACTTTATTGACTTACGTTTTTCAATTTTATTTGTTTGCTTCGGCAATTCAAGAAATGTGGAATATTCTTCCGTATCAGTAGTAGTATCATTTGGTGTTTTCTCAGTTTTTTCAGGAAAGACAATTCCTTTTTCATCTACCTTTGTTTTATCAACAGACACCTCTAAAAGAAGACATTAAAATCTTACCATGTAATCAGATTAATAAACATATATTGTTTGCCGAGAGAATTTACTTATATAATTGCTTAAAAATTACCAAAATTTTTCCCTTTGAATTTTGAGGTTGTTATGTTTTCCTTCTTTAAAACAACTTCACTCATTCGGTCCATATTCTTTAAAAGGGAGCTAGCATCCTTTTCAGTCTGTAAGGGTTTTCAGATTAAAAATACAGTTTAGCTGGTAGACAAAAAATGTAATGAAAGTTTTAACGGTAATGTCTCCTTTCCATTTAGTTTTTTTTTCTTCTTACTGTATGTTCTACTATTTTTCTTATTTAAAAAAATGAGAATGTGATTTTTGAATTTTACAAATGAGAGAAAAATTTTTCATTCACTACCTTGTCGCTGACAGCAGTCCAAGATTTGGAATTGTTTGTTGACAAAACATTGTCGACAACCGCAAAGAAGGCCTGGAAAATTTTATATGAAATTTATATATTTATTAAATATACTTGAAGGTTCACTTAAAGCCAAGACTTGCGTATTGCTTTCTGGAAATTCGTTTTCGATGAGGATTTTTTTCATGCTGCAAATATAAACCTTTTTCTTACACTGAATTAAAGTGGGTGTTCTATAAAGCCTTTGATCTCTGTTTATGAATTGTGTAGTAAGTATGTATTATTTTTTTTATTTACTGTTCAAATTTCGCCCAAAGCTAAGATTGAGCCACTTAATGGAGGAAATTGTAAAATATAAAATATAAAAAGATCAATATTTTTAAAACAATTAAGAACGTAACGCAAGCATTTCCATGGAATGAAGACAACTTTAATTATAATATACACTTAACAAAATTGTAATGTATGATGTAAGTTGTGAGCAAATACAACTTATCATTGAGTCAAATGCTGACTGATGTTTTTCATACTAATTGTTAGTTGATTATTTACACACTGAATTGACAACGGATTTTTTCGTAATTTCCTTATCTTGATAAGGAGCAAACGGCGAGTGTGACCGGTCAGCAGGGGATGCTCAGTCCTCGATGGCACCTGATCCCACCTCTGATGTGTTGGAGGCCCGTGTTTGCTCTGCTTCATTTTTGCATTGTTTAATGGACTTTGAGATTGAATACTGTTCGTTATCTCCATATCCTTGTGTATAAAGCTTTTTTACCTCCTTCTCTACGTTGGCACTCGTCATATTTGTGACGTTGACAATCTTTTCTAGGATGTCAAGAGAGGAGCTAATATCCCCGGCACTCAGTTCACTTCTTTGTGACGTCAGATTCTTCATCTTCACTAACGTGTTGTTCACAGCCTCATCTACATTCTTAGTTGTGCCATCAGCAATTATACTATCCAACTGGGGATATGAAAAATGAAATTGATGCAATTATTTAAAACAAAAAGAAATATTGCTAGGACTCATGTTTATCATTAAGGTAATATTTTTCTGCATTTGAAAATTTATTTACTGCATAGTAGGCCCAATTCTTTCCGAGGATTATGATTTGAACATAATTGAATGATGTCATTATTTTTTTTATTTTTTAATAAATTAGTATCCTCATTGAAAGACAGCTTGGTCATTTAATTTAACAAATTTGAATACAGATTTTGTATTAATATTTTTGTTTTTACCCACATTTTTCATACCAAATGAATAAAAAAAATGTTATGTTTAATTTTATTTGCTTCATGCATCTTGATTGAAAGAAAATGTCTTTTGAAAATTTAAAAATTCTTCATAAAATAGAATTAGATTTAGTTTGATGAAGAGGAAAACTTTTCTTAAATCATTCATAATATCATATAAATTGATTTCCATATCCATTAGATTCTCACCTCTTCATTGGCATTTACCAAAGAGACATCAGTACAGTTGATGAGATCGGGGGATTCCCAAAAACCTTGAAAATTACAATATCTGGTCGCAGTTCCTATGAAATAGAACACAACAATAATCTCTCGTTTCATTTTGAAGAAATGGCTAACAATTGGCATTACGTTCAGTAGAAATATATACAGCAGTAAGAATTATTTATTCTTTCGTTCTCGTTCGACTACTTATTGTTTTGATAATAATAATTCCTTATGCATGGACTTGTGAATGGCAAAAGTTCCTAAAAAAAACAAAATTTGGTTTTTGACTTTCAATTATTTTAATTATACCTTTCTGGTTTTCAGGACATGACTCCTTTTTAGTTGTTCCAGCAATCGTAGATTTCCACATTATCTTTTCAATCTTGTCATCTGCACATCTGATTTGTTCTGTTTATTGAAATGAATCAAAACAGACTTTCAAAAAAAATTCAATTTCCATAGACGGTTTTATAGCGTCCTTTAGCTAGCTTTTTATATAAAATATAAAATATTTCTTTACGGATAAAACACATATTTAATTATTAGATTTTTGTGAAACCAGAAAATGTATTGCATACCTGGTTTTGTGACGGAAATAGCTATAGAAACAGATACTGGATCTGGATAGGTAGAGTGGGAACACGAAAAGCGTCCTGCATCACCAAGATACGCCAATTCTTTCTCCAATGTAGAAGATACGTTTGTTGTGCTTATGTTGAATCCAAAATCTAAGATAATATATATCAAAGAGTTCTTAGATACATGTATGTCACAGTATTTGCAATTTTGTAAAATGAAAAGAAAAATTAAACTCAAAGGCTAAGGATTTTTTCCTACCCGATAATATATAAACGCCATCTTTCTTCCAGACTAAATTTCCATCTGATAAACCAGTCAGGGATTTAGGATTTATGACAACACATCGAAGATTTATACTCTCTCCAGTTTTAATTGAGAAATCATATTGTGGTGCCAACTGCAGCAAAAGTCTTGGAAGTACTAAAAATCAGAATAAATAACTCTTGGAGTTTTTACATTACAAAATCTGTTAACCACTAATGTAGTTGGAGTATTTACATTAGAAAATCTGTTAACCACTAATTATTCTCTCCTTCACTAGCTGACCTGTTTGTATATTCATCTGAAGCAAAATTTATTCAAAATACTTCTACAAGAGAAGAGTAAAACACTTCCTGTGCCCTTCAGCTCGACTTTTAGACCTGTCAATGGTATTTTTTTTTATTATTGATACTCCTATTCAGGTATCAACTTGATACCTATATCTAAGTTAACTTGAAATAAAAGGTGAAAAGTGTGCCACATTTGATTCATATTTGGATGTTTTGCTGAATGTAGAAGATAAGAACAAGCTAACAACTAAAGTTTGCAACCAACATTGCATGTCAAACCAAGAAAGGAGACAGGGCCTTCATATTAAAATCTAATTTGTACAACGAACATTGCATGTCAACTGCAGCAAAAGTCTTGGAAGTACTTAAAATCAGAATAGATAAATCTTGGGGTATTTACATTACAAAATCTGTTAACCACTAATTTAGTTGGAGTATTTACATTACAAAATCTGTTAACCACTAATTTAGTTGGAGTATTTACATTACAAAATCTATTAACCACTAATTATTCTCTCCTTCACTAGCTGACCTGTTTGTATATTCACCTGAAGCAAAATTTATTCAAAATACTTCTACAAGAGAAGAGTAAAACACTTCTTGTGCCCTTCAACTCAACATTTAGATATGTCAATGGCATTTTTTTAAATAATGGATACACCTATTCATGTGTCAACTTGATACCTATATCTAAGTTAACTTGAAATAAAAGTTGAAAAGTATGCCACATTTGATTCATATTTGGATGTTCTGCTGACTGTAGACGATAAGAACCAGCTAACAACTAAAGTGTACAACCAACATTATATGTCAAACCTAGAAAGAAGACAGGCCTTCATATTAAAATCTTACTTTTAAAAGTTTTTTTAATTTTCACGCATACAAATTTTAGAAGGAAAAAATGCTGTCTTGAATATCTTTTCCACCTATGCCTTATGTACCTTTTACTGTTAAATTCCTGGCTTCAGTTTTCGAACTTGTTAATGCTTCCACTGTCCAATATCCTATGAGTAAGATAGAATAATCCATTTAGCAATTTATTTTTTAAAAATTGTCTATATACTATGTTTTATTAAGATATCGTTTAAATTTACCTTCATCCCTTTGTAAAACATTTGTAATAGTTAGGACATGAAGCGTTTTGCCATTTGCTGTTTTGGACGACGTCATCACATATCTTGATGCTGTACTGCTTATTAAATCTCCATTACGAGACCATTGGACACTGAAACCAACAGGACCAACTATCTCTGCTTGGAACCATACTGACTTTTCTTCACGTATTACTGAGTTGCTACTCTTATAGGATAGGATTTCTAGATATTCTGTATTTAGAAAAAAAAATATGCATTCAGTAAAGACTTTCTCATTCATATTTGTTTATTTGTAGTTGTTGGTTTTTTTTAGTTAGATTCACCTATAAAATCTTAAATCTTAATTTGTAATTACAAAAAAAAAAACTCAAAAAGCAACTTTATATTTTAATTTTTTTTATTATATTTTTCTTTGTAGGCATATCATAAACAGAGTTATAACTTCTAAAAACTTATATATGCTACATGTAAGTCTTAAAAAATTTCCATGTCAAACTTTCTCAATCATTACCTTTGAAACAATAACAGCAGAAAATTGAGATGTGAGATATGGTTAATAAAAATAATACAAACCATCCTCACAATATCTGCCCTGATATCCAACTGGACAAACGCATGTAGAATTTATACAAGTCCCTCCATGTTGGCAAGGACATGGTTTATCTTTATCTAAAATAACAGATTACAAAATATATTGATAGTTATATAAAAGACTGCTTTCAAGTGCAAGAATAGAGTTAGTTTTCTATACTTTAATGCCAAAAGAAGTATAAAGTACAACCAGAAGATGTAGATGTTAAAATAAACTCGGAAATTTATGTTCAAAGAAACCAAAGAATTTTTAATGACATTTATTCTTATGCGTTTACATCATTTGTTCATGTGAAGTTCACAAATCTTAATATACACATATTGTCCAAGGGGAAAGTGTCCTTATACTTGATAAGAAATTATCATACCTGATAGTGTTACATTTATATACACAGAAACATCTTCGGGGTTTGAATAAGCTGAATGTGAGCAGGAATATCGTCCAGAGTCAGTCAGTTCTGCTGATGACTTATATAAAGTTGTAGTCGTGCCTGCCTCACTTACACTAAAGCTCGGATCTACAAATATAAAGTCATTGATATAGTAATTGTTACATAAAATGGAAATGAAATGTTTCCATAAAAGATCACATTAAAAAAATAGTTTAAGAGTTTATTTCTGAGAAATCATTAGAACCTGATGAAATATCTTTCCCATCTTTCTTCCAGTTTAGTTTTATGCCAGTAGAGTAAGCTGGTGTATCGGTGTATAAAGCTTCACACTGTAGCTGGATAACTTCTCCAGTTTGAATCGACAAATCATCTTTTGGTGTCAGACTAAGCGAAATTCGTGGGAAAACTATTCAAAAATAAAATAAATTCTATTATATAGTGCATAGGGCTATAATTTAAACCTTTACTAGCAATATTTCGAGTTCTTAGTTTATAGATTTATAATTTTAAAAAATACCACATAGGATAGTTTAAAATTGTCTTTCATTCAAAGAGCTAGTTTTATTTTCCCAGTAATTCAAGCTGTCAATTAGATGTTAAAAAATGAAACAGAATATTCAAATAAATACACTTCCAAAACAACAAATATAATCAAATTAAAATTTTAAAAAATTGAACTTAATATTTTCATTGTTAAAAGGCAATTTCTTTAAACAACTGAAAAAAAACCAAAAAATATGTATTCTCACCTTGCACTTTTATACCTCTGCTTGCTGTCGACAGCCCATTTGTTGCTGTTATATTCCATTCACCTGTTTGTAACATATTTATAGTTTTTTAAAAAATATTGGTGTTATGTTTTCTTTTAGTTTTTATCAATTATGCCAAGTTTTCTGGTTTTTTCATATCTTATATATTCATAGTAATGATGATACCTTCGTCCTGCAAGACCACGCTTGATATGTTAAGAACATAAAGCGATGTCTTATTGGCTGTAGTAGAGGATGTCAGAGTAAATCGGGATAAAGCATCAGTTATTAGATTTCCATTGTGAGACCACTGTACAATCAGACCAGATTTGTTCATTATCTCAGATTCGAACCAAGCTGCTTCACCCTCAATCAATAAGGGCTTGTTGATTTTCAGGGACAGTATTTCTATTGGCTCTGTGAATAGAAAATGGTGTTAATTAATCTTTCAAACTTAACTCGATTGTTCGCCATAACTATAACTTACTAATTTATAACATAGAACTAAGAAATTTATCATTAACATAGTAAGAATAACTTTGACACCTTTCTTTTATTTACCTGGCTCAGTAACATTAACATTAATGGAAACATTAATTGGGTCGGGATAGGCAGAGTGTGAGCACGAATAACTTCCAGAATCATCTATCTCTGATGATGACTTCCTTAGTTGTGTACTTGTATTCGTTGTATTGATATGGAATCCTGAAATGGAAAACAATCTGAATAATTTGAACTGTATTTAATGTTAATTTGATTTTACCCTTATTTATGGTTTTAGGGGGCTTTTGGGAATTCGTATAAAATTTGTTGCTATTGGATTTTAACGAACTGTGTAAATCTTTTCGTTACATAATAAGCGTATTTCAAATCCTGATCTAGATTCTCAATAGCTGTTATTCCATCAATATCTATGCATATCCAAAAATGTAGAATATACAAAATTATATTGTATTATTTCCTACAAGTAGAAATAAGAACACAAAAAATTGTCGAGTGTTTATCAATATTTTCCGCATTCGCGGAAAATTTTTCATCTTAAAGGCGTAGGAACCATATAGGAATTCTGCATAGTACTCAGTTGTAAATTTGGATGACCAACACAATTTTATAGTACGCATGTTGTATGGGAAAAGTAATTTGACTTACTAGTATATTGATAAATTATTAGAAAAGATTTTTTTCTCTAAAATCTGTTTTTGATCCATGTATAAATACATATATTCCCTACACTTAAACATACATGAATACATTATATACTACTCACAGTCTCGCACCATCGATAAATTATTAATCCTAATAGTTTCTCACTCAATTTGGACATCATTTATTGAAAGAGTGTATAGCAAGGCACCAAGCAGGGGTAGAATTAAAGAGATTTCATTTTAAAGTTGTTGATTTAATTTATTTCGTACCAATTTAGAAACTAGATCGCCATTTAACTGACGGTAAGTATCAAGCAAGTGAAACAGAGGTTTGTACTCAATAGGTTTGATGAAAGTAACACAGCTTTTGACATGTTTGAGATCTTAAATCTCGTATGACTCTTAGATATTCAAGTTCATACCTGATAAGATTTTCTGTCCATCTTTCTGCCAGATTAAACTTCCACCGATCAAATTTTGCAGGGATCCAGGATTGATGACGACACATCCGAGAACAATGCCTTCTCCCCTTTGAATCGAAAAATCGTACTGTGGTGTCATCTGTAGCTTCAGCTTTTCTAAAACTAAATGCGAAATATAATTGTCAAAACTTTGAATTCATAAGCTTATGTACTTTTAAAACAGTAAATTCATATTTTGTTCGATAATAAAGTGTATAGACACCCTTGCTTTCTCTTTAATGTAATTACCTTGTATTCTGATACTCTTTGTTTCACTTGTCTTCCCATTCGATGCCGTTATATTCCATTCACCTAAGCAAACAAGTTTACTTTAGTATATTAACATATATTAATTTAAGTGGTTTCAAAATTTTCTTACATTCTTCTTTATACAAGTTACCTTCATCTTGCAGCAAGACATTGAAGATCTGAAGCACATGGACCGATGTACCATTACTTGTTATGGAGGAAGTGATCGTATATTTTGATGAGTTGTTAATTAATTTTCCATTGTGAAACCACTGAACAATGAGGGCAGGATCAAACGCTATTTCCGACTCAAATCTCAATGATTTTCCCTCCCGTAATACAGAACTGCTACTTTTGAAGGATAATATTTCTACTGACTCTGTAAGTAAAAGTTATTTTAATTTTTAGGAATTTTGAACGTGTTGATTCTAAGTATTTTTTTTTTCAATTTTATGTAAAGAACATAAAATGAATATCACGACAAATGTATATTTTTAAAATACGCGTATTCTTCATCTTAATTAAAATTCGTTTTAATGAAGAATACAACGTCGGAAAGCAACAAATTGCATATTTCTCCATCATTCAAAAAAAATTGATACTGTTAATTTCTAAATATACCCGAGGAATTAATTATCGCGTAATTTCGTGAGAGGCACCAATCGCCGAATAATACTACTTGCGTTTATTTGTATGGTCCTGAAAACAATGTAAAATTTTAATTTAAGCGTCCACTCGTGAATTATTGTTCTTGCCATTACGTTAAAAAGCCATTTCGCGATAACAAGTACTCGCGAAAAATAAGTAATCTACAGTATTGTTTCAGTCTTGCTCCTTAGGTATATGCATTCAAAAACATGTAAATATCTGACGTACTTGGTTCTGTGACATTTATATATAAGGAAACATTGATTGGGTCGGGATAGGCAGAGTGAGAACACGAGTAGGTTCCGGTATCGCCTTCTTCTGCTGATAATTTATTCAAAGTTGTGGACGTGTCTGTTGTCGTTATATTGAATCCAGAATCTGCAAACATTAAGTTGCCTTGCAGAAAGTATAACATGATTTATACCTTACTACTCTAAAACACATGTTGAAAAATAAACAAGTTTTTAAAAAAAATTAAATTTCTGTTTTTTTTTAATTTCAAAACAAGTTTACATTTCCAAATAATAAAAAAAAAAATGCCAGTTCATTTTTTTTTTCAAAAAATAAATACGTACCAGGTGATATTTTCTTGCCGTCTTTCTGCCAGAATAAACCACCGCCAGACAAATTAAATAAGGATTCAGGATTGGTAACAACGCACAAAAGGTTGATTGATTCCTTACTTTCAATTGAAAGATTATTTGGAGGCATCATCTGCAGCACAAGCCTTGGAAGTACTTTTAAAAAGAAAAAAATCGTCAAAAAATATTTTTAATCAATAAATAAATAAATATCGGACGAAATTTATCATTCAAAGGATACTTCCAAACAAGATTGTTGTATCAATTGTACGATATAATTTACATTTCATTCTTACCGAGCTATCATGAAAAGGTAAATATCTAGTTTAAATATTTTTTTTTTTTAATTTTCATTTTTTTACACATACCACTACATCCATCACACCGCATCCCACCGCTGTTCAAAGCGAAAGAAAACCCAGCAATGGTATTCGGTTTTCAAAAAGGTAAGAAATTAAACCTTTGACCTAGACATGACAAACGTATTTTTTTCTTTTTCTCACCTCGTAGGTAAACACTCAAACTCTCTGTTGCTTTACCATTTGATGCCGTAATATTCCAATCTCCTGAATAAGTAATAAAACATTTATATAAAAATTAACATTACATTTCAGAAAAGTTAAATCAGCATTCTTTCCTTCCCATTTAAGAAATATTCTACTGGGTACCTTCATCCTGTCGTAGAACATCTGGTATGCTTATCACATAGCGTAATGTACCATTTCCGGTTGAATATGAGTTTATTTTATATCTCATTGAAGAGTTATTTATCAAGTTCCCATTATGAAACCACTGGACAGTTAGGTCGCTTATATCATATATCTCTGTTTCAAGCCAAACTGATTTTCCCTCTCGTGATATTGAATCACTAATTCTGAAGAAAAGTATCTCCACAGATTCTGTAAATTAATCAAAATCAAATATTTCTTATTGTCAATCATTATAAATATTCTAAATTTGAACAGATTTGATTTGATTTCGTACACAATCCAAAATCCAGTTGCTGTTTCTTGTAGCTTTATCTTTGATATCTATTCTATTTGAAAATAACGACGTTGTTCTTTTAGGAAAATAGAGAATAAAGATTTGCTTTTGTAAAATTTAAAATTTGCAATTAATTACGCCAACATCATAAAAATATTTTTTATAACTTAATTTTTTTTTTCATAATAAAAAACAAACCTGGTTCTGTGATGTTTACGTAAATGGAAACATTCAGTGGGTCAGGGTAAGTAGAATGTGAACAAGAGTAAATTCCAGAATCATTGACCTCTGCTATTGCCTTGTTTAAAATTGTCAAATTTTTTGTTGTACTGATATTGAATCCAGAATCTACAGAAAACAAGTAGTGAAGAAAATGTCATTGCAATATATGATGTTTACGAAATTTTCCTTTAATCGCACACAATATGGGCATGCACATTATAAGACATTTCAGAAAAATGGAAATACTAGTAAATCTTTTATTCATTTTTAACTTTTAAAAAACTTCTTTGTAGTTTTTTAAATACTTATTTCTGTCATTTTCATTTCTTAAAAGTTAATAGCTAAAAAACCTGTCAATATAGGCTTCCCATCTTTGAACCAGATAAGACTTCCATCTGTCAAATTAATCAGGGATGCATGGTTCACCACAGCACATTCAAGGGTTAGGTTTTCTTTGGTTTCAATTGAAAGCTCGTACTGTGGTATCATCTGCAGCTCTAGTTTTGGGAGAACTAAACATAAAGAATATCTGTGTAAGCTACAATTATAGTACATTGTATATTTCGAATGTTATCATGTTTTATAATTACATAATTTCAAAATATCTTTTATAAGAATGTGCCTTTAACAGATATCGCATCCGTGTAGCTAAAATAGGGTATTTGATAGTTATATAATTGATCAACATGTGAATCAAGAGCCAATGCCTCAAAGAAAAAGCACTCGTTTTAGGACTGAGTGTGCGTAATATATTTTGACTAGTGATGCAGCTATTCCACAAAATATAAAAATAAATCAAACATGCATTCCTAGGATCATTTGTGATGAACTGATGAACTCCGTCTCTGAGAATGTACAATGATGTTTTCTTTTTACAATAAAAAATACTTCCTCATACATCTGAACAACAAGGACTAAAAAATTATACATAAAGTGGTGTTATCATAAATTCAAATCCATAGGAAGAATAATAAGACCTTAATGCTGAAAAGGTAACATTAATCCAAACCTCAAAAGGAGAGGGGATTAACATTTTGGGGGGATATTTTAAACACTTGGCAAATATGCTTTTTAGGCTTCTACGCAATCGGTAAACAGAACTTTTATAATTCATTAAATATTTAGTTAAGAGGGTAAATTATGAGGATAATGAACAGTTATTATGTTCAAAAGACAATTAATCAGAACATTAAATACGCAACTCTGAAAACATCAGAAGAAGGATAGGATACAAAAGAGGAGTAAGCATTCCCTGTTATATCTGTATCTGTCCTTTGTCATGTCCAGATGAAAGGTGACATTAGACCACGGATAACAAAAACAATAGAGAAGGAGATCTTTATATAATCAAAAATTCATTGTATTTTTAGAAAGAGATGCAACTTCACCCTGTTGAATTTATTTGTCAAAAAACAGAAAATAGAAGTATTGTATGGCACCAAAAGTACATTTGACTAAATCATCTTTATAATTGTCAAAGTTTTTTTTTTCATTTTTCATAATGAAAGAAAACACAGCTTTGCCAATAAATACATTTTCTAACTTTTCCTTTTCTTTATTCTCACCTCGTATGATGATATTCCTGTTCACCATTGTCACCCCGTTGGAGGCCATTATGCTCCAATTTCCTATATAGAAAATCAATAAATTGTACCTCAATGTTTTTACATAAAATTCTAAAACTGATTTTCTTCTTTTTTGTCTCTCAAAACGTAAACTGAATTATTAATTTACCTTCATCTCTTTCATAAACACTTGATATCCTCAGCTGATGTAGAAATGTGCCATTGGCCTTTGCAGAAGAATTAATTGAGTGTCTTGACATATTACCACTTATAATAACTCCATCGCGAGACCATTGGACAGTAAAGTTTGAGTTATCTGCTATCTCCGATTCAAACAATACTTCATTTTCTTCACGGAATACTGACTTGCTACTTCTGAAGTACAGAATTTCTAAACGTTACATAAAAAACTTGTCACTTATAAAACCTGTCACAGTACCCTAGTTAAAGAGCATTCGCTCTCCGATTTTTCTTTGCTAAGCTCGCGGCGCAAGAGTTGCTTACACGGGTCTTTTGGATGAGACTTACCGCACAAAGATCCCTTTTCAAAATAGTTGAAATTACGTTAAAGAACTTTCTCTACTAAATTGCCTAAATTTTGAATGTAGGTCTTATTCTGAAGGCCCCTTCGACGGCATATGGTGACTTATATACTTGAATGAAATATCCAAAATGTAACTAGTGAACTTCTGTATTTTCTCTGCATTAACATGACCCTAAAGCGCAAGATGATAATAGTTTTCTCATTTGTTCGACGGTTTTCTATGTTAAAAAGATGGACATTTTTTAAGAGTTACTTTCTGAAACCTCGCAACATGACAGATAGTAAATGTAAAGGAATCTTCTGTTTTAAAGTAACAATTTCCTATTTTAAAAGATAAACAATATTTTCCTATCTTTTGGCATGATTGCTTTATGCAGCATTATCATTTTCCTCTCTACATTTCGACAAAATCAAGACGAGTATGATAAATGCGCAATGTACCTCGAAAAATACGCATCTTTAAGAAGTCAATTTGAAAATATCAACTGAATAGTATCCAGGAAAGCTGGATTAATGTAACTTGTAAATACTTTAGGTAGAATCATAAAGATTGATGTAAAATCATGCCATTTATTATTAACATCCTCTTTAAAATATCGACTTTGAAAACCTAAGATACCAGTAATGATTTTAAAGAATTTGTAACTTTGACATGAGATATCGAGTTCATATAAGGGTTATATCTCGTACTTTACTTTGATACTGTTAAGTTTCATTACGAGAGGAATGTGACCTTAATTTGTTCAAAAACCATGCTTAAAAAGTGCCCGGGGCTGAAAATACTTTGTACTGTCAATGGCAAAATTGAATTCATTGTCTTGTCGGTTTTAGCTTTGTACGAAAAGCATTCAACCACGAAGATAATAACATGTTACATGATAATATAATTTGACGATTGATTGATTATAGCTTTTGATTCACTGTTTACTGTTTACTTTCATTTTTCACTCATATGAAGACGTCACCATCTACCGGTGAAAACTTAGCAAAAATACTAAAGTAAACTAAAGTTAATTATAGTTTACTAATGTATTAGGCTTCGAAATTTTGAAATTTACTAGGCCCTCATGGCCATTGAGCAGTTAGGGATCTTTATCATGCCAACGCCTGGCATGACACGGGGCCTTGGGTTTTAAGGTCTCAACTCAACCGCCAAGCACATGGCGATGGAAAAGCTCTACCCAATTTCAATCTACTTAGGTCACTCTCGGCCGAGATTCGAACTCACGACCTTACGATCACGGAGCAAGGTCTGCCGATTCCTGCAAGAATCGCTATGCTTAGTTCAATACAGACTAAAATTAACCTTAACAAATTTGTTGTTTATTTCTAAAGACTTCATCCAGATAGAAGACGTGAAATTCAGAAAGCATAAACTAACAAGAACCTATTGTATTTTCTGCCAGACCATAGTGATTATTTTAAAAATAAAATACTTGTACTTTATAATTCAGATACCATGTACGTTTGAGCTACTTTCTACTTTCAAAATTTGATTTAAACGTAATTATTAAAATGTATTCATTTTAATTTGTTTCAGATGCAGATTTTTTATTTTAATCATCTTATGAGTTCTCGGACATGTTTATACATCACAACATAATGATATTAACTAGATACGATCTCGTTGCGAGCAACGAGTGGGTCTTCAGTCTGATTCTTGATGAGATGTGATGAGATTTTGATTGAGATTTTCTTTTAGAACTAAATTATTGTTAAGAAAAACGATTTTGCACCCGAAATATTTTTAAAAAGTATTGAACATTAGTCATAAATTCGAATTTTGACCCTCTTGGACCGATGTATGAGGGGCCAGCTCTTTCTTTCTTCAAATCATCTTA